CATAAGGATGAGTCAGTGGCCGAGCATCCGAATTTTGATAAGCCGGAACATGGGGATGCTGCAACGGTCGTAAGTGTGAAAACCGGTCATATGTCACTTTTTGCAGTGCCGTTGTAACTTTGAACGGTCGCTAAATGAACTGTTGTAAGTCGAGGACTGCCTATATAAATGGCCCAAAGGAATTTTGCGTCTTTTTGGCTAAAGGTGCTTTTTCAAGTCATCAAACATCAAAGACGAGCCCAGAATCGATAGGTACAAAATTCAGAAATTATTTGAAGCTTGCCGAAATTCATATAAACTTGGGACGGAGGGGAAATTTAAGAGAATTTCTCACACTTATGTCGCTGGTGCCATTGAAACAACACCCTGTATTGTTGTTGTTGTTTTTGTACTGCAGGGTGATCTGCTTTCCCTTTAATAATAGCAAGGCATTCAGAAGTGTTTTTATTTGATTTATCCTCCGGGCAGAAATGCATCTGTTTGACTAAATGTTGCAAAATTTTGTTTTATGAGCTGTAACATTCTGCAAAAGTTAATGAACTAGTGCCAGAGTATCTGGCTTCCTTTTTGTCCTGTTTGCAATTATTTGCCGAGTTTATGTTATTACAATCATTGTAATAATTGTAATAAAAATAACGATCTCTCTGTCCTTCCAACCATCCTCTCTCTTGGTGGATTTTACCTACCTACGGTACCTACCTAACTACCCCATCTTCTCATGGTTCCTCCATCTAATTGATCCCTCATCCATCCATCCATCCTTCCTATTTCTCTCTTGGTGGACCTACCTACTTTCTGATGATCTATCCATCTATTTCATCCATCCATCCATCCATCCATCCATCCATCCATCCATCCATCCATCCATGTTCTCTCTTGGTGAACTTATGAATTTACCTATCTACCTTCTCATTAGAATCCATCTAATTGATCCATCCATCCATATATCTAACCATCCGTCCATCCATCCATCCATGTATGTTCTCTCTTGGTGGACCTACCTATATACCGGTACCTACCTTCTAATGGTCTGTCCATCTATCTATTTGATCCGTCCATCCAACCTCTCTCCTGGTGGATGTACCTATCTACCCACCTTATTGCCCAACCATTTGATCCATCCATCCATCCATCCATCCATCCATCCATCCATCCATCCATCCATCCATGTTCTCTCTTGGTGAATTTACCTACCTACCTCCTAATGGTTATCCATCTAATTGATCCATCCATCCATATATCTAACCATCCATTGATCCATCCATCCGTCCGTCCATCCATCCATCCATCCATCCATCCATCCATCCATCCTCTCTCTTGGTGGATGTACCTATCTACCCACCTTATTGCCCAACCATTTGATCCATCCATCCATCCATCCATCCAGCCAGCCAGCCAGCCACCTTCTCTTGGTGGACCTACCTACCTACCTACTTTCTGATGATCTATCCATCTTTTTCATCCATCCATCCATCCATCCATCCATCCATCCATCCATCATCCATCCATCATCCATGTTCTCTCTTGGTGAACTTACCTACCTACCTTCTAATGGTTAATCCATCTAATTGATCTATCCATCCATATATCTAACCATCCATTGATCCATCCGTCATCCATCCATCCATCCATCCATCCATCCATCCATCCATCCATCCATGTTCTCTCTTGGTGGACCTACCTACCTACCCACCTTATTGTCCATCCATTTGAACCGTCCATTCATTCATCCCTCCATCCATCTACCCACCCACTCACCAATAACCCCCTTGCTCTCTCTTGCTTCATCCTCCACCTATTCCTCATTTTCAGTAATTTTCAGTAATGAAGTCAGAAAACTTTTTAAAGCAATAGTGAACCAATTTCGGATATTGATCCGAAAGCCATCCTTGTCTTTCCTGAATGGTGTCTTCCCCTTTGAAAGTGACTTTTGTTTTTCCACCTCCTACTTAGATTATTTTAAATTTTCTCTGGACTTTTTGTGGGTAGTGATTCTGTGACATTCTTCTTTTTTTAATTTTTTTTTTACTTTTGGAAGGTCAGCCTGAACATTAACTTCATTGTTCTCTAACTCTCTCCTGGATGATCTAATTTCAGCAGCGATTAAGGCAAACGCTGCTGCAGAGTCTTATTCAGTATTTAGATATATGTTTTTTTCAGAGAAAATTGGAGGAGAGGAAGGGAGCAGGGGATTGCAAGAATGCCTGGGAAATTGTCACGGAACATTGAAAACGAAGATCATGTGACCGCAGCAGCGGCCAATAGCATCGAATCAGCCTGTAACCCCCCCAAATTTCATTCTCTTGGGAGTCATGGGTGCCCAGGTTTGGGTGCATTCTGTAAGTTAACCCGTTTGGGGTACCTTGCTTCAAAAATGTTTGCCCAACGATGCACTGTTTCGCCCAGTTAAAGGTCACAACAACAAGAATGTTAGTAGTACAGGTAGTCCTTGACTTAGGACTACAATTGAGCCCAACATTTCTGTTGCTATGTGAGACAGTTGTTAAGTGAGTTTTGACCGATCTTACGACCTTTCTTGCCACAATTGTTAAGTGAGTCGCTGCTGTTGTTAAGTCAGTAACACGGTTGTTAAGCGAATCTGGCTTCCCAATTGACTTCGCTTGTCAGAAGTTTGCAAAAGGGGATCACGTGACCCCCGGGACACTGCAATCATAAATGATAAATCATAAATGTGAATCAGTCACCAAAGCATCCGAATTTTGATCACGTGCCATGGGGACATTGCAACAGTCGTAAGCGTGACAAACTGTCAATAGTCACTTTTCTCAGTCATGTTGTAACTTCGAACGGTCACTAACTGAACTGCTGTAAGTTGAGGCCGACGTGTGTTAAATACAATTTCTAGATGTCTTCAAGGGTCCCCCCATGAGCAGTGCATTGCAGTAGTCAAGACACATGACTGTAGGGCAGGGGTCAGCAACCTGCGGCTCTGGCTCTTTCACCCCTCTGCTGTGGCTCCCTGTCCCTCAAAATATGCGTCACAACCGCCAATGTGCGACACCCGCCGGCACGCGATTTATTGAGCTTTTCAACCTCTGGTAGGCCAACCATGGATAAATCCAAGAGAAGAAAAATTTCAGAAGAAAACAGAACGTTTAATTCAACTACATATGCTAGCTTTGTGGCCGCTCAAGAAATAGTCAGGCACGGGAAAGGTTTTTGTGGCTCCCGGTGTTTTCTTTTCTGTGGGAAACGGGTCCAAATGGCTCTTTGAGTGTTTAAGGTTACAGACCCCTGCTGTAGGGAATGCTGCAATGGTCATAAGTGTGAAAAACGGACATATTGCACTTTGAATGGTCACTAAATGAATGGCTGTAAGTCAAGGGCTACCTGTACTGTATGTCAGCATTCCAGCGCTGACATATGAAAGGAGAGAAGAAGCTTGAACTTTTGCCTACTTAATTCCTTTGAAGATTCTGTTTCCTCGGAGATGGGATGAGGAGAGTGGCTTGGAAGATAGCCAATGAGACGCAGAGAATTGGGGATCGGAAAGGGAGGGCTTGGGGGGCAAAGGTCAGTGCTGACCGTGAAAGAGCCAGGGACAGATCACTATGCTCAATAAAGAGAAAATTTCCTCAAAGATCGGCAGTTTGGAAATTCATTTATTTTGAGATAGCATCGAAACCTGACACTGTACAGTTAGTCCTTGACTTACAACAGTTCTTTTAGTGACCATTCAAAGTTACAACGGCACTGAAAACAGTGACTTAGGACCATTTTGCTCATCATGTGATCAAAGTTCTGACGTTTGGCAACTGACTCATATTTATGACAGTTGCAGCGTCCCAAGGTCACGTAACTTCCTTTTATGACCTTCTGACAAACAAAGTCAATTGGGGAAGCCAGATTCACTCAACAGCCATTTTACTAATTCAACAAAGGCGATGATTGACTTAACCGCCGCGACAAGAAAATTCGTAACATGGGGCAAAGTCACTTTTAAGAAATGTTTTCACTTAGCAACCTAAACTTTGGGCCTCAACTGTGGTCGTAACTCGAGGACGACCTGTATCTAGATATAATTATGATCCTTTTAATTACGATACTTAATACTTTACTTTTGTGCCCGTTTATTGGGTCTTCAGGGACGTGGTGGCTCAGTGGCTAAGACGCTGAACTTGTCGATCGAAAGGTCAGCAGTTCGGCAGTTCGAATCCCGAGTGCTGCGTAACAGGGTGAGCTCCCCGTTACTTGTCCCAGCTTCTGCCAACCTAGCAGTTCGAAAGCAAGTAAAAAATGCAAGTAAAAAAATAGGGACCACCTTTGGTGGGAAGGGAACAGCGTTCCGTGCGCCTTTGGTGTTGAGTCATACTGGCCACATGACCACGGAGACGTCTTCGGACAGCGCTGGCTCTTCGGCTTTGAAACGGAGATGAACACCGCCCCCTAGAGTCGGGAACGACTAGCACATATGTGCGAGGGGAACCTTTACCTTTACCTTTATGGGGTCTTCCGTTTCTGTGGTGGGTTGGAGGTTTTAGAAACATTTTGTGACATCACAGCATTTGGACCAATAGCAGGACGAGCCCAGAAAAGGCCCAAACTTTCCAATCAAAGGAATTTCTGCAGCTGTAGCCTCCATTGGAGGCCTACAGTAATTGCAGACAGCTGGTATTAATCACAATGCTATTAGTCTGCTGAGCTCAGCAGACTAATAGCATTGTGATTAATACCAGCTGTCTGCAATTACTGTAAGTTCGAATCTCACCAGGCTCAAGGTTGACTCAGCCTTCCATCCTTTCAAAGGTAGGTGAAATGAGGACCCAGTTTGTGGGGGCAATAAACTGACTTTGTATAAATATACAAAAGTATGAAGTCTATTGCTTAACGCATTGTAAGCCGCCCTGAGTCTCCGGAGAAGGGCGGCATATAAATCAATTTTTTTAAAAAAATTGGCTTTTGCTTGTCATGAGGACCAAAATCTCCCCTTTCCTGGAGTAATATCGGGGTGCTGCTGTCTGACCTCCTCTTTTTTTTTT